TATAAATATTTCTCTATCAATTCTCAAAGTCATTACTTCTAGAATAATTGCAAATTATCTCTTAGTATCAGAAATACTTTTTAACTCTTGTTTTGAGCTTTTGTTTTTATAGCATCTCAAGCTGTTCATACTTATTTCATAAAATATTCTTTCCTGAAAGATATTTTTCCATACCATGTAAAATGCATAGCATTTCAACTTAATTTCTACTTCTAAGTAAATAAAGTCATGTGCTTTTAGGTGATACTGATTCTTTGTTTAGGGTTTTTCTTACTCTATTGGAAGAAGAATTTAAATCACATACATCTCTGGATAAAGAAAAAATGCAGGCAGTTTAAAAGGAGTAAATAAGTTTTTCTAGTTATCTGAAATTTGCTGAATATTATAATATGCTTTGGATTTGGCTCTGAGATTCGTTAAGGAAAAAAATTATTCTGCCACTTCTTAAAATGGTAAAGAAGGCTTTTATTTAGGACTATTTTGATAGATATCAAAACTATTGAAATAGGGGAGATGCAGCTCAACTCTGAATACAATAAAGGCAGCTGGGGATTTCTGGCAAAGGAACAGGGGATGTGTGGGAGAGGGAGTGGGGCTGGTGGATGGAAAATCACTAAGAGGAGACATCAAGGGTAGGGAGAATTCTTGCTAAACTTTCTTTAACAGCTTTCTTCCTGAATGGCAGGCTGGGGTGATCAGATATCAAGGATGTGAGATGCGGAGTTAGATTAGATATTGAAAGTGATCAGATATGAAGAGTGGGAAGATCCTCTCGCAGCTGACTTAGCAGGATTCTTGCTAAAACTGGACACCGCAAGGATGGCACTGACGCCCAAGGTCGAGGCCTAGAAGAGAAGAGGGCTCACAGGAACCCGACCACAGTTTAGTCGAGGAGCGTTTTTGTCAGTTTCCTAGCGACTAAGGCAAGGGGAGAGCACGTTGATGTAAGAATTTGCATCGTCCAAAGCAGTAAAGAATAGCATCACTCTCTACACTGCCATGGAATTGAACGCAGGTCTGACTTTATCACTCGGGTTTCAGCTTTTCATCAAAGTCCACCGGGAGGCAGTGCGTTGGTAAGGGGCATTTAAACAGAGGTGGTGATGGAGAGAGCCATGGGAATACCCATGGGCCCTGCACATCCAGCGGCCAGAAGGCAGGCTTTGTGTGCTGAGGGAGACCAGAGGAGCCAGTGTGAGTGGAGTGAAGTGATCAAAGCTTAGAGAAGCAGGACTTGCGGGAAGAGGTATATCATTTCAGGCCTGAGAGACTGTTGTGAGATCTTCAGGTTCAACCTGAGATGGGCAGCCACCGGAGGGTTCTGACTAGAGAAATGGTCTGAGTTACATTTTAAAGGGATTGGTCTGACTGTTGTAATGAGAGTAGATTGTAGGAAGGCGAGGATACAAGCAGGAGACCAGTTAGGGGGCTTTTGCGATTGCCCAGGAGGTGGGTGGTGGTGGTGGCCTCTTCCAGGAAAGGCTCTGTGAAGGCGGCAAGTGGTGGTCATATCCCAGATATGGTTTGAAAGTAGAGATGAAGGGTTTGCTGATGAGTAAGCTTGATCTGCTGGAAAATGAGATAACTTTTATGTGTGAAGTAAGAAAGGTTACAGCGAAAGTAGGTTCTTTCGGGGAAGACCGCAGTTTAATTTCTGACATTTTTAACTTAGGAGGCCAATTAGATTTCCAAGTGGTGAAGTCAGATAGGATCTAAGGATACTATTTGGAGCCACGGGGTCTGACCACCCAGGAAGCGAGTGTACATAGATGGGTCCAAGGACTTAGATGCAGACAAATCACTTCTTTTCTCTGTGCTGCCCTCCTTGGGCTCTGCTGGTCACTGAAGATGGGCTTAGAAATCATACGTTAAGGCATCATCGCCTGGGTTCTACTGCTGCTGTGCAAACAGCTGCATGACACGTCCTGAATAGTGTTGCTTTTGACTGTTGACTGCTCACCTCCGTCCTTATACTGTAAGTTCCTTGAGAAAAAGGACTATAGTGCATAAGTGATTCTTAAGTGAAAGAATAAATAAAAAACCTTTGCCTTTCAGAGAAAAGCTAAGTACTATTCATCTCTGTCTATCTACCTCACCTCCTGATCCTCTTCCCTGTGTTTGCTACATCTCAGCCACCACTGTGGTTAATGCCTTAAAGGCACGTCGCATTCTTGACGCTCTCAAGCATCAAGGCTTTTTCTATGTCATTTTCCTTCACAGAAAGCATTTCTCCCTCATTCTCAATCTGCCCAGGCATTGTCATTCATCAGGTCCTGGTTTAAATGCTAAATCTTAAGAGATAGACTTCCAAACCTTCATCCTGATCCACCTTCGTATAATTTCTCCTAACAGTCTAAATTTGTGACTTAAGAGCATTTCACAGTTTGTAGAATTATAAGTATTTGTATGATTATTTTTTACTATTTTCTTAATAAGTTTATGAGAACAAAAGACAATATTTTGTTCCTTAATAGGTACCCAGCCCTCACCATTCTACCAGCCACTTAATAGACCCTTTATAAAATGTTTGGAACACATGCAAGTAAAAAATTCCATATATCTCTATTATTGTCAATGAATGCAGATAATACAATCAATGTATTTGTGAGTATTTTTATTATACAAACCATAACACCTTTTGATAAAAATGCTTTAATCTGTTTTATCTTACAATTGGGAAAATAGAAATTTATGGACAAAGAATTAGTCTCCTGTTCGTCCAGCAGCACCTGGTTTTTATAATAGGTAAACATTTTCCTTTTTAATGCAGAGAAGGTGTACTTTCCAGAACTAGATCACCCATGGAGAATGTTCCATTTCCACTTTTCACTGTTTTAGGATATAATGTAAAAGAGCATTTCTAAAATGTGTGTGCACTTCTGAGAAACCCTAGCAACATGGGTGATTATTTTTTTTTAATTTGTTTTATCAAAAACAGAAGTTTAAGAAACTTTAATATTATAAATCACTAATTTGGAAAAATTATTCATTAGAGAACAATTTTGTAATCATTTAAAGTTATTTTATCTTATGCCACTTCCTTTGTTGAGATGACAAGTTCAGTATAAACACCTTATTAAAAATTTTTTGAAGATTATCAAACCAATAATGTTTTGAGTATATATTTATACTAACCAAATGCTAATACTTTGATTATTTTTAAAAATATACATATGGCAGATACAAACTACTATGTACAGAATAGATAAACAACAAGGTCCTACCATATAGCACAGGGAACTATATTCAATGGCTTGTAGTTACCTGTAATGAAAAAGAATATGAAAAAGACTATTAAATATATGTGCATAACTGAATCACTGTGCTGTACACTAGAATAAACTAATACACATTGTAAATCAACTATACTTCAACTTTAAAAAGCCTAAGTGTATATATATATATATTTTTTATATTTTATATATAATTATATAAATTATATAATTTATAATTTTATAAAATTAAATACCATTGTTGTTTCTAAATTTATTTAAAGAAGCTATAAATATAGAAATCTCATAAATACTATGCACCTCGCCTTCATAAGTAGCAAAGGCTACTTACGAAATTAAATACTATTGAATTGTCATTTCAATTAGTTATTTGAGCATAATACAACAGGGTGAAACTGTTGACTGAATCAATTTAAATATATTTTATCTCCTCTCTGCATTTGCTGAAATTTTTTCTTTGTGGGGGGGACTTACTGTAATTAAAATTAAGTAATCATATAATTAGAAGTAATAGACATTTGGAAGCAAGAAGAAGGGACTACATCCATATTCCTCTAAGATTTTCTCTCAAGGACCTCTCCATGGAGACCCAGAAACGTGAAATTACCTGACCCTTTATTTTATACTGCTTTTTATAGTAGTAATTTATAAATTTCATTTTCAGGAACTATATAAAACTCCTTAGTGGATAGAAGGAAAAAAACAGAATTTTTCTGTAAGTTTCTGAAATCCTAGTGTAAGAATTAGCTGAAAATTAAAATACTGCACTTTGCTACAGTTATTACAAAATGGCTTTTGAAAAATCTATTTGGATTAATAAAATATATTCAGTAAAAGATTAACCTGCAAATTATTGCTGTAATTTAATATTTTAAATTACTAGCATGCTTATATTAAAATAGATATACATTTAAAATATGTCCCTCAGTTAATCCTCTGACACTGCAAACGTGACTTACAGGTCTCCAAAAATACAAGAAAGGAAAGAAAAGAGGAAATTTTACATAATGCAGTCACTTTAGAAGGGGTAAAAATTCTGCGTGCCCTATTTAGCTCATGTGAGGAAATATAAATAATAGAATGTGTTTTCCAGTAAAAATGTATATGCCTTCACACAAACATGTATTTCATTGGCTAATATTTTGAAAGTTCATGAGGCTAAATCTAGGGAAAGAAAACAACAACATGAATATTAGAAGGGATAGCCAGTTGAACCAAAGGTATATTCAGACATTTTCTAGCAATAGAGATTCAGCATGTTCTGCTGAGTTTTCTTATTTCCTTTCAGTTTCTCTTCTCCAGTTTAAACTTTCAAAGGGTTGACAGAATTATCACTGCAACTCCTTTTCAAAGAAACAGCACACGATTTAATGAACAAAAATTTGATTTCTCAAGTGTTCATAAAGTTTTTCAAACCAAAATTTATCTTACTATGTATATTAGCCGTATTATTGGCAGCAGACGATATTCATCAATCTGTAGAAGTGATCGTAACATCTGAAGAAGTTCTCGAACAGGTGCTTAATACAATCTGGCAAACTGTACTAATTACCATTTGTACCAGCAATTTTCAGTGATTTGTAAAGATCAACCACAGATTTGTTTGTGTAAGTCTACCAGAGGCTTTGTGCTTCTTAATATACATAAAAATGCCATGATTTGCTGGGTTCTATTTATTTGATATCTTTGCTACTTGTTTATTTCCCTTATTTCTATCTAATTTACTATGAAAATTATCTCTTTTTTGAAATTAATTTATTTCCTCAGGTTAATCTCTTGGCATTTGGAGTTATCATATACAAAGTTTTCCGTCACACTGCAGGGTTGAAACCAGAAGTTAGTTGCTATGAGAACATAAGGTAAGTGTTTTTTCAATTGTACTTTCTTTAGTAATTAAAAGCTTTGGTAACTTAAAGTACAAATCATTTTTGGAAGGACAACTTTTCAATGATTTTTTTACGTTTTTCCCCCATCATGTTTTAAATACTTAAGGCAAAATAGCATTTAATATGTTCGATAAGCCTATCATCATCAAAGATTAAACGGTAAGTAAAGCAATCTTTTTAAATATACTCCCCTTCAAAAGAAAAACAAATGATGATTGCATTTGAAGACAAAAGAAGGCCTTAGTGATTTTCTTTTGCACAACAGTTCTCAGAGCTTGGTAACTGTGTTTCTTTCTTGTGATTCCTACTTTGCATACTGCCGTGATTTTTTCCATCACCTCCTCCCTTTAAAGCTGATTTATTGAGACCTTGAAAATTATTTGTTCAGGAAAAATTGAAGTGAGCTGTAGGGAATGTTAGAAACAACTGATTTCAGGTGGTTTGGGAACTCTCCTGGAGCTTGGATACCTGGCACCAGATTTACAGCTGGGATTTAGCAAATGTTTGATCAATTACTTTCTTTTACTCTTCACCATTCATAGTTACATATAGTTTGCCGGTTTAAATAAGGTTAAGAATGATGCTTTTTCTAAGGTACACTGCTTAAACATCTTCGGCAGTAAAGAATGATTGCACTAAGAATGAATGAGAAAATAATCATTATTTTCAAGGCAGTGTCCTCAGTAAGCAGGATTGAAGATTGTTTTACTGAAACTCACAGGCTATAAGTTGAAAATGTATAAAAGAGACTATGTGCATGTATTTTTTTTAATTTTTAAGAAATCGCTTTTCTATCATGAATTTATTTTGACGTAACTGTATTGCAAAAACAAAACAAAACAAAAAATTCTTGTTTCGTATCTTCAACATTCTTCTCCACCAAGACTGAAAGGAAACAGAAGCTTCCGTTGATGTCCGGCACATGGTAGCCTTTTCAAGGTTTCTTAGGGAGAATACTTTCTAACAGATAACTGTCTTAACCTTCGGGAGTTACCACAACATTAGATTGGAAATCAAAGCATACACCCTGCAGTACACCAGATGAAAATATCTTAGGATTAAGGAAATTCCTTGCAAAAGACCATATTTTAATAATGATGCCTTGAATTTGGAAGCACATCCAGCCACAGTGCAGCAAGCAGGATACCTCAACCTGTCCCCTGTAACTTGAGCACAATTTGTCAGTTTCAAAACCATGACTGGTCTTTACCAAAGATTCCTCGATTATGCAAAAACTGACTCCCCACATGATTGGAGGAATTTGGGGATGTCCACGTAGATTTTTCAGCTGGATTATTTCACATTGGTTCCAGGTCTTGTGCCAGAGGAGCCCTTGCTCTCCTGTTCCTCCTCGGCACCACCTGGATCTTTGGCGTTCTCCACGTTGTGCATGCGTCCGTGGTGACCGCTTACCTCTTCACTGTCAGCAATGCCTTCCAGGGGATGTTCATCTTCTTATTCCTGTGTGTTTTATCTAGAAAGGTAAGCAATTTGTTATTTTTGTCGACCTCATTGAATATTTTTGTAGCATCAGCTACCAAATTGATAAACATTCTCATAGATTTATTGCATGTACCTTTATTGCCTAAATGCAGTACATTTAATATCAAAATAATCAGAACACCTAGTTGTTCATAGTGCAATATGCTTTTAAAAAACCTGTTAGTAAGGATATAAATATAGCTTATACTCACTGGAGCGTATTCTGACAGGTAGTCAGAAGACAGTAATGATTTAGAAAACCAAATATAACAGTTTAATGTAATTTGAAAGTAACTTGTTGTGATTGCTGCAATTATGTTTAATATTTCTTTCTTTTTTCTTTCTAGATCCAAGAAGAATATTATAGATTGTTCAAAAATGTCCCTTGTTGTTTCGGATGTTTGAGGTAAACAAAGAGAACTATGGATAAAAGTCAAGCTATGGACGGCCGATGTGTAAAAATGACCCAATTATTAATTACTAGATAATCAAATAGTTTAAATCAGTTTTTCTGTTTACTGTATAGAAACTGTAGATAATAAGAGATAAAATTATGTACCATATAAGTATAGTAAGCTTACCTACATGACTTAGTTATGTCAAAAGTAGTATTGCAGATATTTGGAAAGTAATTGGTTTCTCAGAGTGATATCACTACGCCCAAGGAAAGATTTTCTTTCTAACACAAAAAATATATACATGTCCTGAAGGAAACCCCTGGCTTGATATTTTTGTGACTCATGTTGCCTTTGAAACCAGTCCCCTATCATCTTGGTAATGAGCTCTGTTACAGAAAGTGGAGCGTAAGAGAACGAAGGAGTGGAATATAAAACAGTAAAAAAGGAAGAGCTGTTACAACAATGAGATGTATTTTGAGCACACTTGTTTTGTAAACTAGATGAGAAATTAAAGGGATAAAATCAAGTACTGAACAAACACATCTTACCATCTTGTGAAATGTTCTGAACTTAAATTTCTACTGAAATGACTCCAACCTGTATTTATGTCCATTCTCTATTCGAATAGTCTAAAAAGGACACAAAACTTTACAAAAGGAAAAACTAAACATTTCTGTTCTGTTTTTAGGTTCACGTTAGAGTGAGGTATATGCTGTTTCTATACTTATTTCACAGATGGTGACTTCAAATGCTTATTCAGTAGTACAGAAATGTGTCAAAATATAATATTGTTCATGCCTGTAAATGTAAAAATAGTGTATATAAACTGAAGCACTGTGTGCTATAACCTTTCAGTGTAGTGAAAAATACTGTATCTCATTAGACTAGGAAATTTGAGTTCTTTTTTTTTAATTTTAGAAATGTTGAGATCACATGGCAATACTCCCTTTTAACTTACTATTTGTAAAAGGGCATTGTAAATATGAAAGTATTCATAAAGTGAATTGCTATTTTTTTTTGTTCAGAAAAAAAACACATTTTAAAATGTTATTTATAGCAAAGAAATCACTAAGAACTGTGGAAACTTTCACGGTGGCTCTTTCCTGACACTTTCCCACTATTAATGTATATCTGCTAAAATGTAAGGCTTCTGTCTTCAAATCTTCTCATTCAAACGCAGAAGCAGTAATTTTATTTCAAAAATATGTAATTGTTCTGCACTAACCTGTAAAAGTATGCCAATATACGAAATGTTGTGATTTTAACTTCATTTCTCCAGCCGTTAAAATGAAGTCTGTCAAATCTTGCTCTAACAAATAAAACATGATCTAAATGAACCTTTCTGCTGCTAGGCTGAGTCATTTTCTCAAGATGAGCTACCTGCCAATGTCTTAAACATTTTTAGAGGATTTGTGATAATAACTTTTGATTAGATCTTCTGATCTCTTATAAGGGAAACCTATGACCTATTATTAGCATTGTCGTCATAGGACAGTGTTATAGGTCTACTGGAACTGATATTGGAAAAGTAACCTGGTAAGTCAATGTGTACAAATCATGTGTGATGAGCAGAACAGCGCCCCCTCGCCAGAATGCCCACACCCTAATCCTCGGAACATATGACTATGTTAGGTTGCATGGAGAGGAGAATTAACCAGCTAACAGCTACTCAGCTAACCTTGACAGGAGGAAATCATCCTGGATAATCCAGAGGGGGCCAATGCAATCAGAAGATTTCTTATAAATGAAAGATGGCGGCGGCAGAAGAGGGAGCCTGTCAAAGTGATGCGCCATGAGGTATCCTCAACCACGCCTTGCTGGCGTTGAAGCTGGAAACAGCCCGCAAGCCAAGGTGTGCAGGCAGCTTCTAGAAGCTGAAAAAAGCAAGGAACTGGATTCTCCCCCAGAGCTTCTAGAAGGGAGTCTGCCCTGCTTGCCGTACCTTTGTTTTAGCCCAGGGAGACCCAATTCCGACTCCTCATCTCTGGAATTGTAAAATAATAAGTGTGTATTATATTAAGACACCAAGTTTGTTGATAATTTATCACAAATTTATTGATAATTGTTTGATAATTTGTCACAGCAACTATAGGGAACTAATACTGCGGAAATATGCGGTGTTAACATCTTCAGAGACAAACAAGTACTCGTAACATTAGGGCAAACACTAGCTCATGCACTTTGTTTTCACCAACCCTCCCCTAGATGTCACTGGATGAGATTGCAGGCCTTCTCGTATCTGCTTACGTCCCCCATTTTCACTTTTGCCCTAAGAGCTTCTTCAGTTATTCTAAACCATTTCTCTTTCCCAGAACTCGCTGTGGTTTTACCGAATCCCCTATTCTGTAATTTTCTCCTTGTGATCATCGTTACTCTGGCAAACACCCGCTTTTCCCTGAGGTATTTTTCTCTGTGAAGCCTTTCTTGGTTCACACAAGGAATTAGTCACTCCCACCACTGTGTCATCCCCAGCTCAGTACTTACCTGTTTAACATTCATCACATTGTATTGCAACTATTTAGCCCAAGCTTGAGATATTTATTGTACCAAGATTTGCTCTTCCTTAAAGGCAAGTACCTTCTCTTTTCTGCTTCCTGAATCAATGTTACTGCCTTCTGTTTTGTGACCACACAGTTGATGTGATAAGAGAGTCTGGACCCTCTGAACAGTCTTGGCTTTTGCTCTTCTGCTCTAGGTGTTCCACACTGGAGGCCCCTTGGGTGAGCCAGCTTCCCAGGTAAAGCCCTCCATGCTTCTCTCAACCTGCCATGCAGTTAGGCGGAAGAGACAGCCAAAAATGTCAAATTGGTGGCGTGGAGCAGGCAGAGGAATTAGGCTACTAGTGTACGCCTTGAGCTCATAATATAGCTTCAACTCAAGTTTTCCAATGAAAATCTTCTTTGGGGATTTGTAAGGTGCTTGCCAAACTACTGATAAAGTAGTGCTTCATTTTCCATCGGGCTGGTACTCCTCACATGTCACTTCCTCATTTGATTGTGATTGGAGTAAATACCAGGATTTGAGATGCAATCTCCTCAACTCCTAAAATGTATCACAAATTCATTACTAAATATTACTTTACAAACTCTTCTTTCTAAACAGATAAGGATGGGAGAAGGGTTCCAGAATTTCAAGAGATTTAATCAAAGAACTCACTACTTAAAGGATGGCCTTGAACAATGCGATGAAAGGACATCAACATGCAAGACAAATACCCTGACTGTGTAAAAACATTGCTATTAACTAGAGACATTATGATCCTCTATTAAAAAATATCTTTTGGTTGATTGATTACACTGTGGTTAGGAAAAATATTTATACACAATGTAACACAATATAGAAAATATATAAGAAAATCTATTAACAAATACTCCACAATCTGCATGCTAGATAAACCAACAAACTATACATTCTTATTTGATGATGGTGTCATTTCTTCAGTCTTATTAAATTCAATGTCCCCCCAAAATTAAACAATGACCCTGTATTTCTTAATTTTCCATATTTTCAAAGTTATTGTACCCATCTTCAATGAGTTAGAAAATATGACTCTTTTCTATGTGTCAAGATTATTCTCTAAACTTTCCAACATGAAATCTTTGAGGAAAGCATGAATTATTGATTAAGTGTGGATCTAGAAAAAGTATCTGTTGTTCAGATTTTTCTTCTACTGAGAATGTCTTCTTCCATACAAGTTCTACCCATCATTCAAAATCCCTGGTATGAAGCCTCTCAGATCAATTTGGTTCTTACTAATTCCCCCAGCCACTACAACTATAGCACTTATAAAGTGCATGAAATAACATAACACTTAACAGGGGTTGTTAACTTATCACGCAGTGTTCAAACTTTAAGATTTTAGATACGGAGGTGAGAGAAATAACCTGGAGATGGCATTTAAAGGAAAAAAAAAAGATCTCTTCCTGAGAGTTAATACCGATTTCAATTGTTAAATTGCAAGATCTCTTTTAATTCTTACAGTAACATATGCAGTTTTATCCTCATGTTTCAATGTGAAAAGTGCTCAATGTCACACAGCTAGGAAATTGCAAAGTTAGTGTTTAAACTGAAAGCCATAGCTCCTTCTGCTCCTCCGTGGAAACTCTGAGGGATATGCTCAGACTCCCTCAGATAGGAAGTGAAAATCCTGTTTACAGTTATGCTCTTTGGGGGATGGAAGATGGGTGACGTGCTTTATTAACATGTCTCTTCTACATGCATATGCAACTTGAAATGTGTATTTCATATGCTCTAAGGTGAAGTGTTTTTCTCCTTTCCCCTTTGCTTGGCTGCCCTTTCCCCCCACATCTATTTCCATCCCCCATCCCCACTTACACCCTCAACCAGGCAGTTTACCTTAACTACCTGGGATATAGCCTTCCATATTTTTCTTCCTGTTCATTTCATCAGATCCAAATGATTTATACGTGGGCTCACATTTTAAAAACATCTCTGTTACCTGCTTTTCTCACGTGGAAAGCTAATGGATTATTTCATTCATTCTTTTTAAGAAACTGAGTAATATCTCATATTGAACCTGGACCATAATTTGCACAGCTGGTATGCAATCTGGACTAATGAAGTAATATATTGGAAGACGTCAATATCTTTCAGGAATAATGCTCTCCATGCCATGTGGCTTAGTTTTATCGTTTAAAATACCAAATGCCAACAGTTTTTTTTTTTTCCATGATGGATGTGGACCTATGTTAATAAGCCAAAGCACTATCGCCTTTTCATTGATACAGAAGTAGCTTGGTATTGCTTGTAACTGTTCAGTGAAAACCATACCCTGAATTTGAAATCCACAAAGCTCCTTGAGCATTTTCATTTAAGTGAAAAGGATTTGAATTACTTACCCCAGATTGAAGGCTTGAGCAAGCATTGAGATCAGTAGGTGATCTGAAAGTACAGAGCAGTTTCTTGGTGTTTAATTCAGATGTTATACGTCATAGGTTTGTATGGTAGTTATGATTAATACAAAATGAGAGGGTTAGTTTAGCTGCAATGGATCTCTTCCGGTGCCAATGGACCCATGATTCTAGTCTCAGCCCCCCACTTTGAGGCATTGTAAATAATAAACTCTATAAAGTATATTACAATTTTATGCACTCAAAAATATGGGAAAAAATAATAGGTTTCTTGCAAAATTGTCCTTAAGAAATGTGGTTTTGTTTCCTATTGGGCTGCAATTTGCCATCTATCAGCATCCAAGGGCCAGGCTGTTCAACCTGAAAATGATTATTTTCTTTCTTTTCCATAATGTATCGGAAGTGGATCTCAAAGAACCTCCAGGATGCAGAGGGGGTTAATTATCCTGGCAGTCAGTTAAGCTCTGCAAGTTTTAGGTGATAAGAACAGAATCCTGTAAAAGACTCCCTGGGACTGCTGCCTGCTGTGAAGAAAGAGCCTTGAGCTGCC